ACAAAATTGAGTGCTCTTGGCCTAAGCTTCACCTGGTCCGAACGTCATTGAAGGACCATAATACAACATGATGTTGTATGCTGATAGACTAAGCACAAAAACATATCTAAAATATCATACTTCATATTTGTTAATGAACTCATAAGTTTAGATATGCACAGGTAATGTTAATCTGGTCAATTTCATGGCCAAATAAAGCGGGTAACATTTGGTAGTTGCATTGAGTCCAATTTGAGTAGAAATTGAAATATTTACAAATATACAATTATGTGATAATTTTTTCATGTTCCCTCAAAAAAACGTCAGGGCATATTGTGTTAGCCACTTCTATACCATTACATTCAGTCCCATCAGGTTAGTTACTGTGACTCTACCAATTTCATTTCCAAAGGTCAAGTATGAGAATACCTTGGACGAGTTCATAGTTTAGGGTCCCAAGGTCAATACTAAAGTCACTGTTGCTATTTATAGGTCAACCATTGCTATTTTGTCAATTTCATCACTATCTACAGACTTCAAGGTCATGAGGTCATGAATGTCTTACTGACATTTGTTTTAACTTTTTTTTTTAATTCACTATCATTTTAGAATATTTTTTTACTTTTTAAAAAATCTACAACATCAAACAATACAGTCATATCAGAAAGAAAAAAGAAAGAAAGAGACTTCATTTGGAGTTGGTATTTTTATGTCGTCAATATCTGACAGTTTTACTTTGACATCATTCCTAAATATGGAGTATCCTGATAAATAAATGTATACAACATGTCTTACCAGACACGATCTCTAAATTAGAGGTAGGTTTTGCTCTGTAGAGAAAAAGGATGCAAACTTTGCATTTAACTTGGCTTTATTTACTGAAATTGAGCACAGTGCTATTTCTATCACATTTCTATGGCAATTGTGAATAAAAGTACCACTCCATAAGGTCAAGGTCACTTACCTTGGTAACTTGACGATCTCCAGGTACATGTTACAGAGTCAGAGGTCAATGTCACTTACCTGGGTAACTTGACGATCTCCAGGTACATGTAACGGAGTCAAGAGGTCAAGGTCACTTACCTGGGTAACTTGACGATCTCCAGGTACATGTTACAGAGCCAGTGGTCAAGGTCTCCGGCCACGAGTTCCTCCACTGTCTCATGTTTCTCTATGTTAGGATCCATTTCTCCTCGCAGGAATGGACACTTGTACCTTAATACCAAAACCAATCATTATAATAAGCCCCACATTTAGTCAAAACAAATCAAACAAATCCTTAAATTTGTGGATGTCAATCGAACAAGCATTTTCTCCTCTCAAAATCATTCAAACAAGCCTTTCATTCAGATGATATCCTTTCTAACTTAACAGGGAGTTAAAACAACAGCTATTGGGTTTCAGAACAACATTTATTATAGCTCTAGGGAGTAAAATATTATTTAAAGATCTGTGGAGTACAAAGCTACATCCAATCATTAGGGGAAATTCAAAACTGTGAGACATCAGCACAGACTAGACACGAGGGACAAGACATTAAAAGATATCCCAGACAAGACATGAAGAACAAGATGATACAGATATCCCAGACTGGACACGAAGGACAAGATGATACAGATATCCAAGACTAGACACGAAGGACAAGATGATACAGATATCCCAGACTGGACACGAAGGACAAGATGATACAGATATCACAGACTGGACATGAAGGACAAGATGATACAAATATCCCAGACTAGACACACGAGGGACAAGATGATACAGAAATCCCAGACTAGACACGAGGGACAAAATGATACAGATATCCCAGACTAGACCCGAGGGACAAGATGATACAGATATGCCAGACTAGACACGAAGGACAAGATAATACAGATATCCCAGACTAGACACGAAGGACAAGAAGATACAGATATCCCAGACTAGACACGAGGGACAAGATGATATAGATATCCCAGACTAGACACGAAGGACAAGATGATACAGATATCCCAGACTGGACATGAAGGACAAGATGATACAGATATCCCAGACTGGACATGAAGAACGAGATGATACAGATATCCCAGACTAGACACGAGGGACAAGATGATACAGATATCCCAGACTAGACATGATGGACAAGATGATACAGATATCCCAGACTAGACACGAGGGACAAGATGATTCAGATATCCCAGACTAGACATGATGGACAAGATGATACAGATATCCCAGACTAGACACACGAGGGACAAGATGATAAAGATATCCCAGACTAGACACACGAGGGACAAGACGATACAGATATCCAAGACTAGACACACGAGGGACAAGATGATACAGATATCCCAAACTAGACACGAGGGACAAGATGATAAAGATATCCCAGACTAGACACACGAGGGACAAGACGATACAGATATCCCAGACTAGACATGATGGACAAGATGATACAGATATCCAAGACTAGACATGAGGGACAAGATGATACAGATATCCCAGACTAGACATGAAGGACAAGACGTTACAGATATCCCAGACTGGAAACGAGGGACAAGAAGATACAGACATCCCAGACTAGACACATGAGGGACAAGATGATACAGATATCCCAGCCTAGACACGAGGGACAAGACGATATAGATATCCCAGACTAGACACGAGGGACAAGATGATACAGATATCCCAGACTGGACATGAAGGACAAGATGATACAGATATCCCAGACTAGACACATGAGGGACAAGATGATACAGATATCCCAGACTAGACACGAGGGACAAGATGATACAGATATCCCAGACTGGAAACGAGGGACAAGAAGATACAGACATCCCAGACTAGACACACGAGGGACAAGACGATACAGATATCCCAGACTGGCAACGAGGGACAAGAAGATACAGATATCCCAGACTAGACAGGAGGGACAAGATGATACAGATATCCAAGACTAGACATGAGGGACAAGATGATAGAGATATCCCAGACTAGACAGGAGGGACAAGATGATACAGAAATCCCAGACTAGACACATGAGGGACAAGAAGATACAGATATCCCAGACTAAACACAAGGGACAAGATGATACAGACATCCCAGACTCGACACACGAGGGACAAGACGATACAGATATCCCAGACTAGACACAGGAGGGACAAGAGGATACAGATATCCCAGACTGGAAACGAGGGACAAGAAGATACAGACATCCCAGACTAAACACACGAGGGACAAGACGATACAGATATCCCAGGCTAGACACATGAGGGACAAGAAGATACAGACATCCCAGACTAAACACACGAGGGACAAGACGATACAGATATCCCAGACTAGACAGGAGGGACAAGATGATACAGACATCCCAGACTCGACACACGAGGGACAAGACGATACAGATATCCCAGGCTAGACACATGAGGGACAAGATGATACAGATATCCCAGACTAGACACGAGGGACAAGACGTTACAGATATCCCAAGTAATACAATGGAGGCCAATATGGCTCCCATTTAAGTTGTCAGACATGATCTTGAAGTTATTATTGGAGCAGATCAATTGATTTTTTTTTTATATCCTCAACCTCCGAACATATTCACTGACCACTTACTTTCCCTCTATAATATCAAACTGGGCGTCACAGATTGGGAAGCTTCCCCAGCCCACAACACGATCAGACTTTACAGTCGCTCCTCGCAATAGGAACAGTTCAAACACCAATACCATACCAGGCTTCAGGGAGGCTTTCGACGGCAGCACGGTAAACACACTCTGGTCAAACTATAAAGTATAAAATATTTGCTATTAGACATTCTTATTTCAGATCACAGGAACATGTATCAAATGTTTAAATTAAAGCATATCATTGGATATGGATTCCTTTCACTGCATCCTGAACTCATTCACCCCTGAAGACACATTTGAACTCTTCCAAATCAAAGGTCGGAATATAATTCATTATAAAATTTCAGGGGTGAATGAGTTAAAATTATCAGAGTTTAGACCCATTACAACTGGTGACCAAGCAAATGGATGCTCAAAAAAATATGCATAACTTTTTAATAAGCAAACACCAAAACCTTACTTATGTAAGGGAAATCTAATTATGAAATTTGAGAAAGATCTGTGAAGAACTAAACTTGAGAAATAAACTTAAACTGTCAATTCCAATTTGGCTACCCGGTGGCCATCTTGTTTTTTATCAGTCTCAAATGAAAAACATGCACCACTATAGATCAAATGGATCCTTCATATCAAATTTGCAAAAAATATCTGTCTGGTACTTTTTAAGAAATAGCTGTAACAAGATTTGTTTATGGACGAACCATGGTCAAAAGGATAAACAATGAATGTTTCCAAAACAATGTTTCCAGCTTGCAGTGTGCATTTATTGTTTTTCAAAAAGTGGAGCAACTTGTTTATTTTGAGAAGATGTTTCCTGCTGTATATAAAAGGTAGAGGATGTAACCTTCATCTCTGTGTTGTAGAAGTAGCCATCATGCTGGACAGGAAGACTGGCCGCTCCCCACATCTGACTCTTGAGTTTTGCCCAGCGCAGCACATGACCTCCCAGTCTGTTGTACAGGGACACCATCAACACATAGCGGCCTCCTGCAGATCAAATACACTTAAGGTTATAAGCTACATTACCGAGACATGCATTTTTATTTAAAATTATATAACTGTATTGCCATAATTTGGAAGTTTGTTGGCATTAACTGTAAAGCTAACTGAATCACAGTCAGTCGACTTTGACCCCTTACCTAACATTGACAAAAGAAAAGTCAACCTTGACCCTATCCTAACCTTGATAACAGACACAGTCAACCTTGACCCTTAACTAAACTTAACAACAGAAACATTCAACCTTGACAATTAGCTCAAGTATCTGTTAAACTTTGATTGCAGATATTCAAACTTTGACAATTACCTCTGGTACTTGCTTAACCTTGATTGTAAGACAAAGTCTTACCTGGTAATTTATTCCTGGCCTTTACCTGGTAATTTATCCCCGACCCTTACCTGGTAATTTATCCCTGACCCCCTTACCTGGTGATTTATCCCTTACCCTTACCTGGTAATCTATCCCTTACCATTACCTGGTAATCTATCCCTGACCCTTACCTGGTAATCTATCCCTGACCCTTACCTGGTAATTCATCCCTGATCCTTACCTGGTAATTTATCCCTGATCCTTACCTGGTAATTTATTCCTGGCCTTTACCTGGTAATTCATCCCTGATCCTTACCTGGTTATATATCCCTGATTCTTACCTGGTAATTTGTCCCTGACCCTTACCTGGTAATTCATCCCTGATCCTAACCTGGTAATTTATTCCTGGCCTTTACCTGGTAATTTATCCCCAGCCCTTACCTGGTAATTTATCCCTGACCCCCTTACCTTGTGATTTATCCCTTACCCTTACCTGGTAATCTATCCCTTACCATTACCTGGTAATCTATCCCTGACCCTTACCTGGTAATCTATCCCTGACCCTTACCTGGTAATTCATCCCTGATCCTTACCTGGTAATTTATCCCTGATCCTTACCTGGTAATTTATTCCTGGCCTTTACCTGGTAATTCCTCCCTGATCCTTACCTGGTTATATATCCCTGATTCTTAACTGTAATTTGTCCCTGACCCTTACCTGGTAATTCATCCCTGATCCTAACCTGGTAATTTATTCCTGGCCTTTACCTGGTAATTTATCCCCAGCCCTTACCTGGTAATTTATCCCTGACCCCCTTACCTGGTGATTTATCCCTTACCTGGTAATTTATCCCTGACCCTTACCAGGTAATTTATCCCTGACCCTTACCTAGTAATTTATCCCTGACCCTTACCTGGTAGTTTGTCCCTGATCCCACGCAGACAACCTAGTTTGACCTGTATAGGTTGTGGAGTCTTGTCCCAGTCGACCTTCCAGCGACGACCTTGACTTCCTCCATACTGACCATCAATGGTCATTAGGTCACCGTAGAATGTCTAAAAAAAACAAATTGACAACATCATCCAGAATGAAAATAAGACATCAACCTTGAATAATCTTTTGCAATTTAAAACTCATGGTGCATTGACAGTTCGATGGTGATGAGAAGTAAGCATTAACCAGTAATTATTGTCTTTCCAAATTGATTTTAACTTATTGATAGACTGGATACTTCACTTCTAAACAATACAGGTTACTTTTACCACAATTTAAATGTTTAATCTTCAATCAAATCGCTCTTTAACAGACCTATACTATATGCATATATCACACGACTTCATTGTATTAACACACATACAATAACATTACCTCGGGAGATTGTATCAACACATATAATAAAAACATTGAATAAATATATGAAATGATAACATTGTATTAACATATCACATACCAACATATGTATTAACTAAAACATGACAACATTATATTCACATATCACATGACAGCATTGTATTCACACATCACATGACAACATTGTATTGACCCAAACATGACAACATTGTATTAACATATCACATGACAACAATGTATTCACATGACATGACAACATGGTATCATGACAACATGGTATTCACATATCACATGACAACAATGTATTCACATATCACATGAAAACATTGTATTCACCCAAACATGACAACATTGTATTCACATATCACATGACAACAATGTATTCACATGACATGACAACATGGTATTCACATATCACATGACAACATTAATATTGTATTCATATATCACATGACAACATTGTATTCACATATCACATGACAACATTGTAATTATATATCACATACCACATATGTATTAACTGAAACATGACAATATTGTATTCACATATCACATGACAACAATGCATTCACATGACATGAAAACATGGTATTCACATATCACATGACAACAATGTATTCACATATCACATGAAAACATTGTATTCACCCAAACATGACAACACTGTATTCACATGACAACAATGTATTCACATGACATGACAACATGGTATTCATATATCACATGACAACGTGGTATTCACATATCACACGACAACATTGTATTCACTCATTATGACAACATTGTATTCACTCATTATGACAACATTGTATTCACATGCATCACTGACCTTGATCTCTCCCTTTCTACGTTCAAGGACACTGACAAGCTGACTTTCTGCTCGTCGGTAGGCCCGGTGTAGACGGTCCATCAACAATTTCTCTTTCTGCCTCAGCATTTCCTGTGTGAAGAAAGAGGTGTATTTTACATTTGAAATTAATCTCAAATATTTTTAGCTCAATTCCATTCTTTTTTAAATTCTTTTTTCAAACCAAATGCAGATTGATAGGCATCTAATATTACATGGAAGTCAGCCATTGAAAATATGGAATAGATGCCCCTTTTGCATATCCAGTTCAATCAGTTGAAACTGTTGAACCTGAAAGAAAACGATAGGTGCAGATCCGAACCGAGGCTGCCTCAGGAATATTCGCCACGTGTAGATTGAGGGGTAACTAAAATGCTGACTATTGTTAGCTTGCGTTATTTCTTAATAAAACACATTTTAAGATACATTATATAATTTAGTGGATGCCTAAAAGAAGGAAATGTTATTCTTGATATAGTGTTATATATTCTCCGAAACTGTGCATTCTCTAGCTCTGCCTACAGTCCGGTCCAAGTGCGAATGTTTATCATGGAATATTTCTGCGCCACCTTAACTGCTTCAATTTGGACAGGTGAATACAACCTTAGTTTTTACAGAATCCATGGTTGTTAGATGTAATTATTATATCTCTACTTTATTTACTCTATATAAAAGTAATTGGTTAAATCGAATATATCCCCACTTTTGTCTGACTGTGTTTTAGTCCTGGGTGTTAGTCTGGGAACTAAAACACACCTACACTCGGGTGTTTCCGCCAAGCCAATCAGGCGAGAGGTGGGCGGAGCTTGCTACCGAACTCAGAAGCGACGCGCGATGTGGGCGGAGCTTGCTACCGAACTCGGAAGCATTTGGCTCCATTGCCATCAAAGGGGTAGTTGGGACGTGAAGCTATACAGCTTATGGTTTACCAATATTTTCTATTTAAAACCATCTCTCCAGTGTGTATCGGTATAATAAAACGGTTAAAGTATGGGGTTGAGGGATATAGCAAGTATCTGGTGTTCCTTGACCATGCCTATTTCCCTCGGTTTCACCTCGGGAAATAGACCTGGTCTCGGAACACCAGAAACTTACTTTATCCCTCAACCCCATACTTTAACTGTATAGTATAACTGAACACAATGCCTTTATACAAGCAGTAACTTGGACACAATTATGTAAAATCGGCCACCAAATAAAAAACTGCCTTACAAGTCTGCGCATAATCTCCTCCCTCTTCAGCTTGGTTTCCTCGGCGACACGTTTCTTGGCCATTTCTTCTCTCCTCAGCAACTCCTCCTTCTGTTTTCGCTTTCTTTCAGCCTCCTGGTCCATGTATCTGGAAACAGTTATAATGTCACCTTCATTGCGAATTATTACATTTATAGATAGCAGCTTAAATGTAAAATGTAAACTTTTTAATACTTTACAATAATAATAGAACAAGTTTTTAAACTTATATCAATCACTCTTGTTGGCCCGGATGGAAGCACACAGGGGGTCTTAATATAGGAGGAACCTGGAGTACCTAGATATTTCTAAACATTTTCTTCAGGTTGGTAAGTATGGATTATGAGAAATTCTTCATAATAATGGAGTACCTAGAGTAAACCAATGTAGTCAGGTTATCCGTCTTAATTTGGGAGGAAACTGAAGTATACCCAGAGAAAATCAGTGTAGTCAGGCAGGTGACCCAATACCTTCTCCAATCTGATCATGATCAGCGGTTCAAACCCTTGCCATCTTGGTGTAACGGCTAGTGTTCTATCTACTGTGCCACCAAACCCCCCGTAACACCAACTTAAAGGATCTGTTGAGGTGGAACACATCCACTAACCTTTGATATCAGGCTAACATTTGACTAGGTGACCATTTGTTGATGTCTATAGCCCTGTACTGACCTGATGTGTTCATCCCTCAGGTGTTTCTCCTCCTCCTGGACATCCTCCAGTGAAATCTGTCCAAGCATCACCACATCGTCTTTTACTCCCTCCTCAAACTGCTCCAGGTGAGGTCCCAGCTCAGCATCCTCAATCTCCTGCTTCAGCTCTGTAACATTCAGTATGACATACAACCAGGGATCAACCATCAAGTATCAGTCCTTTAGTCTTAGAATTGTAGATGTCAGCAAAGAACTGTATTGAATCATGTATAACTGTATACCAGTAAATTTTCACCACACTTTAACTTATGCTTTTTTGCATAATTTCACCATGACAGTGAATGGCATTTTTCATCCTACCCTACGTACAGTGGTTCTACCTCTTTCCACTGGGACTATTTCCTTTTGTGGGAAAATATCACTGATAAAAAAGGCATGAGTTTGGGATGACAAAGTGATTTTGGTATTGGTTTTAGGAAAAACAGCAGAAAGTGTCCGGGGAAAGGAGCCGTTATAAGGGTCTAAATTAACTAAATTAAAGGTGAAGGGCTAATTTCACACTAAGTGAGAACAGGTTATACATTAGTGAAAGCCAACATTTTACTGGGCGAAAGTTTCTATGAAGAAAATTTATATCAAAAAAATTATACCTGAGATTTTCTGAAATCTTGGGAGATGTTCTGGTCGGGTAAATAGAGCAGGTGGTTGTCTCTCTGTCTCCAGCTCGTTGTCGCCGCCCTCCAATGTGTCCAGCAGACGGTACAGGTCAGGAAGGGCCTGGTCATTGGCCGGGGGATCTAAACGCCAAAATATAAAACAAAAATACAATGAAGATGAAGGTATGCAACAATAGATTTTGCAGCCATTTTGAAAGGAGATAAGTTATAACCACATTGTGGTTCTAAGAACTCCATATTTAGATCAGTTAAAAAGACTAATTAACAATAGAAAATGGGTCTCTTTTTCCTTAATTTATCAAGATAAATTCCTAATTTATAAGAAAAAAAAATAAAAAAAATACAATGTATGTAAAATATCAACTCCTCAAATTTGAAATCATTTTGATAAACAGTAATTGACAATTTACACATTAAAAATAACCTTCCTTGTTGGAACTGTGCTAACACAGTATTGCTCCAAGGATTGTATTATTTCAGTTGCCTGCACTGGCAAAGGTTAAGGATTTGTCAAAGTAATATCTGATACTTATAGTATTGTTTGTGATACTTTTAATGCATTAAGTGTGTCTGATGAAAATTTCACTAAATCTAAACAAATAGAAATAAAAAAAAAAAATGAAATATATTTTAATGAACAATATAAATACATTAAGTGCATCTGATGAAAATTTCGCTAAATTCAAACAAAAAATAACGAAAATTTGAAATTTATTTTAATGAACATTTTAGAAATGTTTCTCGACCTTCATACAAAGTTTGAATATAAAGGTCAGAGTTTGTTGTCAATGGTGACATCTTAGTACAGTACCCATCTGGAAGTACATCTGTCTATAAAAAAATATATGTGTCACTCACTGAATACACAAAAAAAACAAAAACAAATTAACAACCAATAAGTGTCAAGGACTTTATCATGTGACCATCTTCAAACTCAAAGGGTTCCCATATCTTCTCTGCAACCATTGAATATCATCAACCAATCAAATGCCAGCAGTTAATCAGTTGATTTGGTTCATTAAGATTGAATTTTATTAACTCATTCACCCCTGAAATTTCATAATGAACTATTCCAACCTTTGAACTGGAAGAGTTCAAATCTGTCTTCAGGGGTGAATGAGTTAATATGCAGCCAATTAACTTACCAAATACAAACTCTTCCTCCTCAAACTCAATACCGTAAGCCTTAGGGTCAATGCTGGTGAACTCAACAGACTGAGATTCCTTCTTCTTAGTCTGAAACAGAGAAATCTTCATCTCATGGAATGTCCCAAGCAACACAATTTCTACCATGTAGTAATTTGTATCCATTTTTTGTTGTTATAATTGACAAAAGTCTTTTTTTTTCCCAGTTTTTATATGTTTAAGATCAAGGAAAAAGTGTTGAAAAATTGGTATATTTTTTTTCTGTTAATTTTTTTTTCCGAATTCATTTTTCTGACATCATTTTAGTACATGCAGTAACTATATTTATCCTGCAATAAGCCTGGGAGGTTAAAACATAATCTCTAACTAAAAGTTTGGGGGTAGGCCAATATTACAGGACAGTGAAATAATTAACATCTACTGTCATTTCTACTGAAACGCAATACACATTGGTACAATGGATAAGTAAATAAAAGTGGTCAAGTGGCTCGGTGGATAGCGCAGGTGGAGGTTTGAATCTCTGATTGCAGGTAAAAAGGTATGGGGTCACCTGGCCAATCACTCATGCTTTCTCCTGGTACTCTGGTTTCCTCCCACATTAAGACCCCCGCTCCCCTGCATGCTAACATCTCGGCTAACAAGAGTGATTTATATAAGATGAGTTAAATTGTTAACACACTTGTTGTAAAATAAATACAGTTTATATTTTATGTAAAAGTAAATAAAGCCTCTTTAAAAGAAAACCTTTACAGCATTGCTTTTACAAATTCCCTATATCCACATTTTTGGCTGAGTTTAATGTTACAGCATCTAGTATCTATATTCGAAACCAATGGGAGACACTTGATATAAACTGAACTTTCCAGTGTTACCGTGACATCATGATGATATCCAAAGGGACATGGTCATTAGACCTCAGAAACACAAGCGACAATTTCTCTGCTCCTTCGGAAACATGCTATAAAGTTGGACATTGATCAGTGCCTGGAGAAGTTCCAATATATTAAAATTGACCAGGACAAAACAGAAGTCCTCGGATTTACTCCCAAACATCAAAAGAAGAAATATCTCAATTACACCTCAGAATTGGTATTATGTAGTACTGTCACAAATGGCAGGTTGTAAATGTTGTGAGGAACTTTTAAAGGGGCATCGATCATTGATGGTCTCCTTTGTCACAATCAGTCACTTCATCATTACATTTCCAGTTCAGGAGATAAAGATCAGTTGCATCTGTCAGTTTTTAACCACTGACACTGCAATATACTAAGTCTTGATATCATGATATCCACACAAGACTTAAGAGAATGTGATACTTCAAGCCATTGCTGGAACTGACTAGTGAACTCAAAGTGTCTCAAGACAGAACATTATACAGCTTGTCATCTGTTTACATATAAAAACCATGCTACTTTACTAACCTCCACTGACTTAGTGGGAGAGGGTGGGGCCCTTTCTTTCTTTGGGACATCTTTGGGATCCTCTGAAAGAAAAAAAGAAAACAGAAATATTAACTTGATTTTTAAGTTGTGTCACATGTACACTTATAACAGAATATCAACCATCAATGTACACTGTACTGGTAAAATGCTTGGCTTTCACTGTGCAGCAACAGGGTATATTATCAACAAGAGGCCCATGGGCCTTAACGGTCACCTGATATATTTATACAGAGAGTTGATTTCGTTTTTAACATGAACAGAAATATTATTCAAAGTGACAAAAAACAATAAAACCACCTTATTCAATATCAAGCATACAGATTTCAGACTAAAAAGGATTTGAAACTAGCACCTCTGATTCTAAACAAGGAAAATGAAGAAATTTTAGCACACTGACTCCCTTGAGCCCCACCCTACAGCCCTTGGGGGTAGGGCTGGCTCAAAATTTTCAAAGTATCAAACTGTCAACTCAAGGTTATAATTCCAATCAAGTTATTAACATGTAATA